TGTCTTCAGAAAATGGAGTGGAAAGCTCTCATGAAGAGCATTTGATGAGCTTCACGTAACAGGACAGGAGGAACTTTTCTACACTGCCGGATGCTAGCTACTCGCAGCCGTGCAATGTCAGATACTCTTGACAAGTGGAGAAATTGTGTCTAAATAGGTATGATCGTATTTATGGGGGCAAAGTTAAATTTCCCACCCTAGAAACTGCTTTCTTATGCCTCCCTCTGCCCACATGCAATCTTCCCTACAAGTCTGAAATAACCTGTGACCATAGACCACACCCTTAATCCTTAATCAACTCTTTCTTACCTGCACAGCATTGGGTCCCCAAGACAAAAGGCAAGAGTGGGTATGGCTTAAAACCCTTCATATGGAAAAGCTAACAGCACAGACCCTGATAGTGTTTTAGAAAGAACATTTTCAATTTATGTTAAGAAGAACACAGTCTACTAAGATGAAAAGTGAGCAATAACAATTAGGCCATCACCTCAACCATCTCCTGACACAAACAGTCAGACATACAATTTACAAGCCTAGTTCATCTGCACCTCTCTCCACACAATCTCTGAACTCTGGCATTTCCCAAAGAATATCAGTAAATATTGGGGGGGGGGGGAGAAACCCACTTTCAGTATTTTTTAAAACCCCATGTTTCTGTTAACACAAAATCCCACCAATATTAACAAATATTTGACAGAGTTTTAGGCATACAAATTTAAACATAAGCAATCTACTTGTTAATTTCTGAATTAACTTTATATATGAACACACTAAATAAATACTGTTTAAGATGCTAGGAGAAAGGAGCTTACTCAATTTGAAAAGTTGTATTATAACAACCTGGAATGTTACATATATTATTCTCAAATGTTTGGCCTCCCAAAATATTGGTACCATGCACAGCGAATTCATTTGTTTACTCAGTGTTTAAACTGTACTGTTGCTAGACTGTGATCTTCAATCCACAAAATGCCTGTCTTTGAATGAACTCGGTTATATGCTGTTTGAATGGCCACCTCTGGCTCCAGTTAAATATTTTCTTTTGTACCCACATGACAGCAGCCACAACTGGTTAAAATAGATTCTAAAATACAATATTTTGTATTTTTACCTTCTAATCTTTAAAAACATAAATCATACCTTCTGGACTTTTTTATTACAAAAATTCTATAAAAGCTATTTTGTAAAAGAAAAATTTTAAATTAGTATTATTCAGTCAGCAGTATGAGATCTTTTAAGGTATTTATACTTTTGAGAACTAAAAAAAGAAACTAAGCACCATAAATAAAAATCATACTGGAATATTCTCCTATAAATACACTACTTGAATAAGAAGAAGCTTTGCGGAATACACTGTAAAACTAGATTTAAATAAGTTCTATACTATTGAAGTTACTAATGTTTGTATTATTAGGAAGACAAAAAACTTATGAAGTTTAATTTCAATAGAAAGGGAACAAACAATATTTTAATAAACCAAAGAAAATCATATCGCTTTTTAGATAAGGTTAGGTAATATCATATTGCTTTATATATGCAACTGAACTATAAAAAATAAGCTTTTTGGCAGAAAAATCATAGAGTACTTTAAATTATATCGACACAAGAATTGCAAGCTGCCAAGTCGCTGTCATGAAAACTCCTCCTATATGTTACTTGAGACATAGGATACGCTTTTAACTCATTTCCAAAACACTTAACCTGTGTCTTTCATGTAATAATCTAAAAGTTGGTCATGTCAAAGAGAACCTATCAGACTTCTAGGCTGCTCTTCTGTTTCTGTTACTAATGTAAATCCATTACGTAAGAACCTCTCATCAGATGAAGGAGAAAGGGAGGGAACGCAGAATTCTATTGCCAATTTCTCTGTTAGGTAAGCTATTCTTTGAAACAACAGGAGGAAGTGGGGATGAGTCCCTCTATCAAGCTTCTAAGATTCACTTATGCTTTAGTTTTAAGAGTTCATATTTTTTAGGAATGTTTAATTTCAAGATTGTTTGAGAAGCCTATTTTCTCAAATCTGTACCAGATATGCCAAGATTCTTAAGGGGAGGAAATAACCAAGCATCAAAGATGAATACCACAGAGTTTTGCATGAAGATGCCAGTTTTAAGGCCTGAAGATGTCAGTATTATGGCTCCTGAATTTATCTACAGCTCTAGCACAAACATAAATGCCTTCTCCAATCCTTTTTGACTTTGATCTTGACATTGACTGAGCCCATAGAGTTCCAGAGCTTTTCCTCCATGCAAACGTTAGCTATGATGATTGTTGAGTCAAAGAGTAAAACCACAGTAAGTCAAGCAATTATTATGTGAAAAAAGTTAACTGGCTAATTTGATACATATTATTACCTGACTAAAGTCATTATTCTAAATTCATTGTTTAACACTATCTCCTAGGTTTTAAGAGCACTTGTAAAATTTAGTACAGAAAATTATCAACATGACTATTTCTTAATACCCTTATAAAACACCAACAAGACAGAATTATTCTTTTAAAATGTTTACATTAAATTAGAAGCGTTTCTTAAAACCTAGTCTGTGAATTTTTATTCAAAGTCATATATATAAAAGATTTTATGTTAACTTTCTGTTTTTCTTCATAGTGTTATTCTGTAATTTAGCAAAGAGCACGATATGGATGTCCTATCCTAAAAATCTAAGTACCAAATGTTGAAGTCCAGGAAGTGTTGGGTTAGATGGCCTTTGCAATTTATAAGGGTAGTTATGTAAAGAATCACTATCAGGGGCGCCTGGGTGGCTCAGTCGTTAAGCGTCTGCCTTCAGCTCAGGTCATGATCTCAGGGTCCTGGGATCGAGCCCCACATCGGGCTCCCTGCTCGGCGGGAAGCCCGCTTCTCCCTCTCCCACTTCCCCCTGCTTATGTTCCCTCTATCGCTGTGTCTTTCTCTGTCAAATAAATAAATAAAACCTTAAAAAAAAAAAAAAAAGAATCACTATCAGATACACAGATTATAGAACACAGTGCTTTTAAATAACTTTAAAAATGTTCAGAAGCAGTATAATAATTTTTGCATAACTTTGGAGTTCAGGGGTTTAGGAGACAACATTTAAAAAAAAAACTTCAAATGGAATTTTTAATTCTTTGACAATAAAAGTACTAGCTTTCTATTTAAGCTTCATAGACATAGACTGTCTCTCTGAATAAGGCCATATTTACTATACACTAGTGATCCGGATAATATTGACCCAATTTGGTTTTATTTAAAAATAGAGAACATCCGTATATGAGAACCACCAATACATCTCTCCATGAATCAAGTCCAGTTTTCAAAAAATAGAAAAGAAGAAAAGGAAGGAAGTGTGAATGGGAAACAGTAAACATTCCTAAATGGTCTTCAAGAGGCAGAAAAAGCAAAAAAACAAAAACAAAAAACCTTAAAACATCCAGATAATGACATTTCAGTAATTTTGGAATAAATATTTCTCAGACTCAAATATTCAAGATTATCATATAAAAAACTCTGCATATTAACAGACAAAAATCACCCATTACAATTAACAGCTCTACACACGTGCATGCAGGCGTGCGTGCATGCACACGCATGCGCACACACAAAATCCCTCTGACATTCACACACATTTATACTGAAACCAGTTTGAGGAGATCTATTAGAAAGACAGTATACCCATTCCGAGTAGTTGTTTAAAGCAGCACATTTATAAAAGCAAATAAACGAAAATCCACAACTATATCAAACTGGACATTTCTAAGTTGCCTAAGACTCAAACAAATTGGGAGTATGGATTCAGATTCGAGTAGAATCACATTGATTTCCTTTTCAAGTTACACACACTTTATCCCACATGCACCAAGTGTGCAGGCCCCGAATTTAGAAATCCCTCCAAGAGCAAGTCAGGTGGATGCCTCAGAGCCCCTGCCAGCAAAAATTCATCACACTTAAAAACGATGCAAACTTCTGGTTAAACTGTACGCTTTCTGATGTCACAATCCATGTGGCATTCCATGACAAGTGTGTTTTCCTTCTGCCCAGACTTAACGGAGCAAGAACAAGCAGGCTTTTGAATCAGTGCTCCACTTGAAGTATTTGCTTGCTTGTGAGATTTATACTCGACTGTAGCTTGGCTCTCTTATAATGTAATTCCTGGGCTATACACGTCTACAAACTGACAGAAATAACAGGAGATGTGAAAAATGCAACAATACTAAAACCAGATGTTGGTGTAAAATTCCAGGACCATTTATTTGTGCATTTCGCCTTTTAATGTACAATCTCTATGTTGAAAACAAAAGGCTTTTTTTTTACTCTTAAAATACCTAGAACCATGAAACGTTTAGAGGAGATGAAGTAGAAATTTATGGGATGGGACTTGACAGGAGTGAGGGGGTGGGGAGTAAAAGAGAAGCTGAGAGAAGGGGAGTATGAAGGAGAAAAAGAATGAGCCCAAATCCACACTATCTTCTTTTCAGTAATCATACCTCATCCTTTTCCTGTTCTTACTTTGTTTTAATCTCGTCTTGTAACGACTCCAAACAGGCGAGTTAAAGGTCAGAGTTACTATGATTTCTCGTTAAGCAAGGAGTTAAGAAGAACAACAACTCTTCTTAGGCGCAATTGCCTTTGTGCCCAAGAAAGTGGTAGATTTCCCCCCCCCCTAATTTTACCAAGAAGTGTCTTACCCAAACCTTCTAGCTTTGGAGAAATAAAAGAGTTGCATTTGAGGTTACATTTATGAAAACACCTACATTCAGAAGTCAAGGAGAGTAGTGTTGCTAGTTAGTTTCTTAAAGTGTGAGTCATGGGTTTATCATAAACAACCGCAAACACCCCTTTCTTCAAAAGATTCACTTTAATATTCTACTGTGAGTTTCTTATTTGTTTGGTTGCCGTGAAATGATGATCCAAAAGCTATCACAAGGCACTACAAGCTCTCGTTCTCCCACAAACACCTGCTTTAATAGTCAAAAATAAACAGCAAGATTTGGTTACTCTGCATTTTTATTAACAAACTTACATGATTTCCTGTTGGAAACTTTCAAGGGCTGAACTAATATTTCTGGTCGTCTCAGAGCCAATCTCCTGGGGGAAAAAGAAGGTCAATGCCTATCAATTTTCAGTACAGATCCAAGATTAATATAACACCAAAATATTAAAAGTCCCAAGGGGGGAAAAAAAAAGGGAAGCCAGGGGAAAAAATGAGTGCAATGCAATCTATTCAAATTAAAAAATAAAACCTCTACTTTCAGAGTTTTATAAATCATCCCCACTCCAAAATCACTCTTCATTCCCCCCCCCATCTTTCACATCAATACAGTTTCAGATATTAATGTGCTATTTTTCCATTTGCTTCATAACAAAAACCGAGTATGACCTGGTCCTGTCATATTATTTTTGGTCATTATTCATCCTTAGTTAGACAAAACAGAAATCCAAACCTGAGGGATAAAGGATTCTAAAGCAAGGTTTTAGTGCTCATTTTATCACAATTCTCCTCGAGTGATATTTTGCAGAGAACAAAAGGTCATTTGAAGAGAGACTATGATGGCGTGCCAGTAGCTCACCTTTCCTGGAAATGCTTTGAGGGAATCAAGCCTGCCCTGGGATTGGCATCACCTGCGTGCTTTGCTTGCCACCATGTTGCATCATCTTGGCTCATAATCTGAAGAATATCTCCCTTTTTGAAAGAAAGCCCAGCTTCCTTACATGGAATTGCTTTATCCTCATTAGGGTCATAGTCAAAGAGGGCTTTGATAAACATCTGGAAGAGAGTTTCATTTAAAAGGAATAAATATAAAAAGTAAATGTGAAAGGGCCAACATTCTTCTCTGATTTAAGGATAATTTTTGTTTAAAAAAAGGATAATTTTTTATTTTATTTTTTAAAAGATTTTATTTAATTATTTGTCAGAGAGAGAGAGAGCACAAGCAGGGGGAGGGGCAGAGGGAGAAGCAGGCTCCGCGCTGAGCAAAGAGCCTGATGTGGGGCTTGATCCCAGAACCCTGGGATCAAGACCTGAGCCGAAGGCAGACACTTAACTGACTGAGCCACCCAGGCATCCCTAACCCCCCAAAAGAATGATTTTTTATTTATTTATTTTTAAATGTTTTATTTATTTATTCATGAGAGTCAGAGAGAGAGAGAGAGGCAGAGGCAGAGGGAGAAGCAGGCTCCCCGCCTAGCAGGGAGCCCGATGCGGGACTCGATCCCAGGACCCCGGGATCATGACCTGAGCCGAAGGCAGATGCTTAACCATCTGAGCCACCCAGGCGCCCCAAGAATGATTTTTTAAAAAGAGAATATGAAAATGAACTTACTGTGACAAAGAGGGTATGTATTAGATGGGGAAACATTAGCGCCCTTCACTGCCAAAACAAACAAAAAAGATTGTTTAAGGAATGATTACCTTGCCTTCTTTAGATGGTGTCTCCTCTTTGATGCTGGGTATAATCTTAAATGTAATTGCTCCCTGAGACTGAGCCTGATAACAGAGGAAAGACTTATCAGAGAACTTCTAGAGCCAGGGGGAGGGAAGGCAAAATAGGCAGAAAAGGGAATGATTCTGAAAATTTATAAGCTTGGGGTTTCTACTCTTAGATAAACCAAACTGAGAAAACTATTTTTGTAGAAATTCCTGCAATATGAGAAAGCACTCAAGTTTGTCAAGTAAGTTAAAAAACACTAAACACTAAATCCACTTTTACCTCCTGTGCACTTTCAAAATGCTGATGAATGTATTACCATCCATGTTGAGCTACTTCAGAATAGAAACACAGAATCTGCGGAATGCCTTATACAGACAACATTACAGATGATGTGCAAGGTTCAGACGATATTTTTAAGTATCAGCATCCACGTTTTTAGGAACAAAATACCTGTACTGTCAGCAATGCAGTTATATGATTCACTATCTACAATATATATACATTCACCGCAATGCTCAGCAGAAAAATATAACGAAGAACATTCACTGCTATTATATTCTGGTTAGTGAGTAAAACACCAAATGTAATAGATTAATTAAAAGATGAAAAGATTAAGTACTTATTAATTTAATGAAAGCAAGCGACAACAATACAGGCCATTCTTTTCCGACCATCTCAGACCAGAGCGGATGTCCCTTTCACATACTCTCATGTCCTTCTCTGTTTCTCTCTTTCTAGCATTTCTCACAACTGTACAAAGTAATCATTTATACAATTCTTTCTTTTTTTTTTTTTAAGATTTATTTATTTATTTGAGAGAGCAAGAATGAGAGAGAGAGAGCACATGAGTGGGGGAGGGTCAGAGGGAGAAGCAGGCTCCTCGCCGAGCAGGGAGCCCGATGCGGGACTCGATCCCGGGACTCCGGGATCATGACCTGAGCCGAAGGCAGTCGCCTAACCAACTGAGCCACCCAGGCGCCCTATACAATTATTTTTTAATATCTGTTATCTCTGCTAAATTTGAAGCTCCACAAAAGCACTAAGTATCTGGCACATATTTGAGAGGAAGGAGGGAGAAAAGAAAAGAGGAAGATGTGATCAGGCAGAGGAGAGGAAGGAGGAAGGAAGGAGGGAGAGAGAGAGAGAGAAGGGAGAATGGATAGCTATCTCTGAGGTGCACTATGGTAAACAAGGGCTCTCTTCCGGGGGGAGGTGGGAGGGGAGGTCCTGATCTGTATTGTTTGTCAATGTCCATGGACCACAGCCAACTTCCATTTACCAGTGTGAAGTCCCTGAAAGCCCAGTTGGGAAAAGCTGCATAGAATCAGCTCTTGCAAATGTAAGGAGCAGCTCCAGGACAGCACAGAGACTCAAGTAAAATGGGGCTTTAACAGTATAAGTATCAGAATTTTATAACAGGAGTGATTTCAAAACGGTAATATCACTGTTATTACTTATCATAAAACAACTGACAAATCTTATTAAGAATTTATATAATACCAAACTGCACAGGTAGAGAGAAAGCAAGTCTTCTCTATGATCTCCTTCCAGTCTACTAGTTTGTGTGTGTATGTGTGTGTGTTAATGTGTGCAAAGCCCTTAGAACAAGGTCATTAAGGGCTCAACCACTGTAAGAATTACTAGTATTAAGTCATATAGGTCTACCAGCCATTGTGACTGCCATCATGTGGATGAATGATTAGTCAGTCAATGCAACCTTCTTGCTATTTCTAAATATTTTTTACAATCTTGCTTATATCATACACTTTCCAAATTATTTCTGACGGGTGAATTCCCAACAACTGAATTTCTTGATTAAAAGGTATGCAAATTTAAAATTTTGATGGTTTCAGATAGCCATCTCAAAAGGATCTACTAAATTCATCCCACCACTGGAAACATATGAGTACAGTTATGTGCCTAGAATTGGCTGACTCTAGCCATTATCAAGCTTTCAAATCCTTCCAATCCAATATTTTTCAGTCATCATGTTTACTTTTGTAAATTTTTCTATAAATATTTTTTCTCTTATTGATTTTTATGAACTCTCTATACATTAAAATACCTTCTATCATATATATGGATAATATTTTTCCTAAGTGTCATGTGTCTTTCAAGTTACATATGGCATCTTTTCCTATAAAGTTTTTAATTCTTACAATCACCTGTTATTTTTCTATTTGAATTTCACATCAAGTTTAAAAAGTCTTCCTTTATTTTTTTGATTTTTTAAAAACATTTAATTCGTTGGGATTTGTTCTGGGTATAGTGTAAAACAGGGACTGACTTCATTATTTATAACTGAATCATCAATTTATCCAGTACCATTTATGAAATGACTTCACTGTTTTCCCATGGATTTAAAATGTCATCTTAATCAGATACTAAATTTTCATATATACAAGGGTCTGTTTGAAGATACTAAATTCTATTTCTTTTTTTTTTTTTTAAAGATTTTATTTATTTACTTGACAGAGAGAGAGACAGCGAGAGAGGGAACACAAGCAGGGGGAGAGGGAGAGGGAGAAGCAGGCTTCCCACTGAGCAGGGAGCCCGATGCGGGGCTCGATCCCAGGACCCTGGGATCATGACCTGAGCAGAAGGCAGACGCTTAATGACTGAGCCACCCAGGCGCCCCCCAAATTCTATTTCTGTATGTTTTTGTTTTCATACATTAACAGAGACAGTCTCCCTCATTTTATCCTTACAAATGAACTGGAGAATTAATACTGTCAAGGCCTAAAATAATTTTGTTCCATTTTAGATTTCACAAGACATCTAAATTAGTTTCACTGTTATAGATACCTAGAAAGTACAGCCTACAGTCTAGCCATGTCGATGGGAGAAGGGAAAAGAAAAATGCATCATGAACAACAGAATAGATGCCACCTATTAAGTACCTATTTGGAACAGGCCCTGTAATAAACTCTTTACATACATTAGCTCATTTAATCCTCAAAACACTGCCGTGAGGTACTTACCTCTTCTTGTTTTCATTTTGTAAATGAAAACACTGAGGTAATGCAAAGATTAAGGTATATTCCAAGGACATACAGGGATTAAGTAATGAAGCTGGGATTACAACTCTAGACAGCTAAATTCAAATCCTATATTTATAACCAAGTCTGAAACATACTGATTCAATTTCATTTTTTTATTGCAATTTTAAAATATAATTTCAGCTTACCAAAATCTGAATTATTTCCTCAGGCCTTTTATCCTCTACTGGAATCCCATTCACTTCCCTAAGTTCATCACCAACATGAATAAGACCTGAGAAGTAGCAAATTTGGTAAATTAGCAGAGTTACCTACAAAAGAACCGCAATTTGCAATCGTGTCCATACTCAAAGCACTGTTTCATTCCCTTAATGCATTTGCGGAGACCTTTAGGCTTCTCAGGTTTCAGACTCTGTACCTCTAAACAGCGATGAACCAAAGACTACCATGTTATAATGCTGGCAAAGAAAGGACATCAGCATCCCGGTCTTCGTCTAGAAATGTATATTATTTTCACCTAATAAAAGAATTTTTATTTTGTTTCAAAGGCTGCACACATGCAGTAGTACTTTTCAAATCAGAAACATTTGAAACAGATCTTAATGTAACTCTGGAAGCCCATGTAAACTGAGATTGTAAAGTAGAGTGAGATGTATCATTTATTTCAATAGGTTCCCACAGTTCAACACAGAGAAAAATATCTCACTGTTTTGATGTATTACAGCAGAAGATTGTTATCCTCTTTAAAATTACATGTTGGAAATGTTGCCCATGAAATGCAACATGACTTGTCCACAAGCCTACTGTTGAAATCCTTACCACGTCTCCTTTTTTTTTTTTTAATCCTTACCACTTCTATCCGCAGCTCCTCCCCTCATGATTCTAGCCACAATGATGGCTCCAGTCTGCTCATCTTTCTTAATGGTAGCTCCCTTTGAAGGAAAAAAAAAAAAAGTACTTGTGGGTAAAGGTGTGCATTGGGTGGTCCGAAAGGGAGCAGAAATAAGGACATTTACCTGGAAAAAGTGAAAACAATTAGAAAAAATTAAAGGTACGAGGCAGGTGTCTTACAAACACTCCTGACTTGGGACAGATTTTCTATCAGACACATCATCTACGGTTTTCAGCACAACATTTAAGGATTTTTCAAATCTTTAACCTCTTCAACACGATGGAAAATACAAATATCTTCTTTCCATTATAATACCTTGTATTTGGGGGCGCCTGGGTGGCTCAGTCATTAAGCGTCTGCCTTCGGCTCAGGTCATGGTCCCAGGGTCCTGGGATCGAGCCCCGCATCGGGCTCCCCGCTCCGTGGGAAGCCTGCTTCTCCCTCTCCCACTCCCCCTGCTTGTGTTCCCTATCTCGCTGTATCTCTCTCTGTCAAATAAATAAAATCTTTAAAAAAAAAAAAAAACCTTGTATTTGAATTATGATTTGTTTTTGCCACTTGACAGCATTTGTTCATCTCATTTGTCTTTATAATACCCCATGAAGAAGGTGGGCTACACTGAGATTAAGTTAATACAAAAATCTTATATAAATTAGAAAACTAAAGCCCAGGTCATCTGGCTTTTAGTTTAGTGATCCTTTATTACACCATTATGGTAAAGGAACTCAGCCATAATGACAAAGAAAGAGAAAAAAAAAAAAAGACTTAAACTCCGAAATTAGTCCTATTCCTTACCTAATGCTAAGATAAACTAATGGAAGAAAGATCTGTTACTCCAAGGTCTTTATGTACTAGGACTGTACTTAGTACAAAGAGAACTAACATTTTGGCAGAAGATTAGGAAACAATTTCAAAAAGAGTCCAGAAACTCTTCATTTATGGATGTTCAGAAGCAAATTAACTGAATGCTGCTTTATAAGAACATCAGGCACAAATGGTTACTTTGAACACCTTTTTATGACTTTCCTTCTAAGAAACTGGTATTGGTGTAGGAAAGCATTCTACAATGGCATCACACAGCTAAAAAGATGCACATTAGGTGGTGGCAGAATTCACCATGAAAATCAAATTTTTCTCACGTCAATAAACACAAGTGTATCATTAAAAAATAGGTATGTAAACAAAATTAGGAATACATTTGTAATAAGTATATTTTATATGATAGTTATCAAATACATATATAATAATGGTTTTTAAAAAATCAAATAATTGTGATCAGATGATTTTTGACATTTTTTATCACCAAGCATGTCCGTTCACGTCCAAAGACTTAAATGAGCATCTCTCCACAATCATAAACACCAAACCTATAAAGACCCATCATTAACTTACCATTAATGGTAAGTTCTGCCTTTCTTTAAACAGTTTACTTACAGCCAAGATGACTAGAAATGTAATATTTTTAATAAAACTAGTGTGATTGAATAAACTTTCATTTGCCTTAACAATATCTCAAACCTTCTCATCAAAGTATGCCTAATGGCAGAAGGGTCTAGTGACCTAATTTAAGATTAATAGCCCATTTTTTTAAAGTGTTCTTTTTTCCCTCATATTTTTTCCTTTTTTAATTGAGGTAAAATTGGCATGTAACATTATATGGCTTTCAGTTATACACCATTACAATTTGACACCCGTATGCACTACAGAGATCACCAGAAGTCTAGTTACCACCCACAACCATATAATTGACCCTGGTCATCCATTTTGCCACCCCCCCTGCCACCAACCTTTTGGTAGCCACCAATCAGTTGTCTATATCTATGAGTTTGTTTTGTTTGTTCATTTGCTTTTTTCTAGACTTTACATATGAATAAAATTATATGGTATTTGTCATCCTCTAACTTCTTTCACTTAGTATAATACCTTCAAGGTCTCTCCATGTTGTCACAAATGGCAAGATTTCATTCATTTTTAATGGCAGGGTAATATTCCGTTGTGTGTGTATCTATGTATAGATACACACACACACACAAACAACCCACATCTTCTTCACCTCTTCGTCTACTAGTGGACATTTAGGTTCTTTCCAGGTCACGGCTATTGTATATAATGTTACAATGAATACAGGGGGGCATCTCTCTTTTTTTTTTTTTTAAGATTTTATTAATTAGAGAGAGAGAGAGATCATGAGCAGGAGGAGGGGTAGAGGGAGAAGCAGACTCCCCAATAAGAAGGGAGCCCAATGCGGGACTTGATCCCAGGACCCCAGGATCATGACCTGAGCTGAAGGCAGACACCTAACCAAATGAGCCACTCAGGCGCCCAGGGCATATATCTTTTCAAGTCAGTATTTTTATATTCTTCAGATAATAGCCAGAAGTAGAATAGATGGATCATATAGTAGTTCTAGTCTTAACGGAGACTTCTCCATACTGTTTTTCATAGTGGCTGCACTAATTTACATTCCCATAAACAGTGTACAAGGGTTTCCTTTCTTCCACATCCTCACCCACGCTTGTTATATCGTCTTTTTGATAATACCCATTCTAATTGACGTGAGGTGACGTGTCAAATGCAGTTTTGATTTGCATTTCCCTAATAATTATTGACGTTGAGCATCTTTTCATGTGCCTATTGGCCATCTGGATGTCTTCTTTGGAAAAGTGTCTATTCAGATCCTCTGCTCATTTTTTAATTGAGTTGTTTGGGGTTTTGCTTTGTTGTTTTGTTTTATTTATTTATTTATTGAGTTGTAGAAGTTCTTGATATATTTTGCACATTATCCCTTATCAGATATATGATTTGCAAAAATCTTCTATTCAGTAGATTATCTTTTCATTTCGATGATTTGCTGCAGAAGTTTGATGTAGTCCAATTTGTTTATTTTTGTTTCCCTTGCCTTTGCAATCAGATCTACAAAAATACTGCTAAGACACATGTCGAGGAGCTTACCACCTATGTTTTCTTCTTTTAGGAATTTTACAGTTTCAGGTCTTATGTTCAAGTCTTTAATGCATTATGAGTTTTGTGTATAGGGCAAGACAGTGGTCATGTTTCATTCTTCTGGATGTAGCTGTTCAGTTTTTCTCAACACCATTTATTGAAGAGACTTTCCTTTCTCCATTGTATGTTATTGGCTCTTTTGTTACAAATTAATTGTCCATATTATATGTGGGTTTAATTTTGGGCTCTCAATTCGGTTCCATTGATCAGCATGTCTGTTCTTATGCCCATACCAAACTGTTCTGATTACTATAGCTTTGTAGTATAATTTCAAATCAAGGAGCATGAAGCCTCAAACTTTGTTCTTTCTCAAGATTACTTTGGCTATTTGGGATCTTCCATGGTTCTGTAAAAATTTTAGAATTTTTGTTCTAGTTCCATGAAAAATGCCCTTGGAATTTTGAGAGGGGACTGCAATGAATCTGTAGATTGCTTTGGGTAGTATGGACATTTTAACAATATTAATTCTTCCAATTCATGACCATGAACTATCTTTCCATTTATTTGTGTCTTCTTTAATTTTTCATCAGTGCCATGGTTTTCAGTATACAGATCTTTCACTTCCTTGGTTAAATTTATTCCTAGGTATTTTATTCTTTTTGGTGTGCTTTTAAATGAGATTTTTTCTTAATTCCTCTCTCTGATAACTCATTATTCATGTATAGAAATGCCAGATTTCTGTTATGTTAATTTTGTATCCTCCTACTTTACTAAATCCATCTATTAGTTCTAACAGTTTTGATAGAGTCTTTTGGATTTTCTATATATAGTGTTGTGTCAACTGCAAATAGTGATAGTTTTAGTTCTTCCTCCCTTGGGTGTCTTCTATTTCTTTCTCTTTGCTGTGGCTAGGACTTCCAGTACTGTGTTGAATGAAAGTGGCAAGAGTGTGCAATTCTCTTGTTTCTGATCTTAGAGAAAAACTGCCAGCTTTTTACTGTTGAGTTTGATGTTAGCTGTGGGTCTGTCATATATGGCCTTTATTATCTTTACTCACTTTGTTGAGTTTGGGTCATATAAATGGATGTTGAAGTTTGTCAAAAGATTTTTCTGCATCTATTAAGATCATATGATTTTTATCCTTCATTTTGTTAATGTGGTGTTGATTGATCTGTGGGCACTGAACCATCCTTGGATCCCTGGACTAAATCCCACTTGATTGTGGTTTATGATCTGTTTAATGTATTATTGAACTCGGTTTGCTAATATTTTGTTGAGAATTTTTTCATCAGTGTCACCAATGATACTGGCCTGTAACTTTCTGTGTATATGTGGTATTCTTGTCTAGTTTTGGTATCAGGGTAATGCTTCATAACTAATGAAGTGCTCCCTCCCCTTAAATTTTTATTGTAAGAGTTTTAAAAGGATATGTATTAAATCTTCGAATGTTTGATAAAATTCATCTGTGAAACCATCTGGTCCTGGACTTTTGGGAAGTTCTGATTATTAATTCAATATCCTTGCTAGTAAGTGGTCTATTCAGATTTTCTATTTCTTTATGACTTGGTCTTGGAAAATTTTATATTTCTAGAAATTTATCCATTTCTTCTAGGTTGTCCAATTTGTTGGCCTATAATTGTTCATAGTCTCATGATTCTTCGTATTTCAGTGGTGTCAGCTGTAACTTCTCTTTCATTTCTGATTTTACTTGACTCCTTTTTCTTGATGAGTCTGGCCAAAGGTTTGTCAAGTTGCTTTATCTTTTCAAAGAACCAGCTTAGTTTCATTGACCTTTTCTATTGTTTTGTCTCTTTCATTTATTTCTGCTCTGATCTTTATTTATTTTTTATTTTTTTTTTAAAGATTTAATTTATTTATTTCACAGAGAGACACAGCGAGAGAGGGAACACAAGCAGGGGGAGTGGGAGAGGGAGAAACAGGCTTCCTGCCCAGCAGGAAGACTGATGCGGGGCTCGATCCCAGGACCCTGGGATCACGACCTGAGCCGAAGGCAGACGCTCAACGACTGAGACACCCAGGCGCCCCTCTGATCTTTATTTTTTTAAGATTTTATTTATTTGACAGAGAGAGAGCACA